TATGGAAAGCAGTGTGGAGAACTCTTAAAAAACTATAAATGAACCTACCATTTGACCCAGTTATACCACTCCTTGGCATACACCCAAAGAACTCATCCTATTGCAGAGACCTTGTACATCCATGTTTGTTGCTGCTCTTTTCAAAATAGCTAAGATATGGAAGCAACCGAAGTGTCCCTCAACTGATGAGCGGATAATGAAAATGTGGTTCACTTATATGATGGAATTTTATTAAGCAGTAAAGAAAGATGAAATCATGAAATTTGCAGGTAAATGGATGGAACTAGAAACTGTTATACTAAGTGAAGTAACAAAGACTCAGAAAAAAAAAGGCATATGTTCTCCCTCATATGTAGATCCTAGCAACAAATCCTTATAAGTGAATACGTATCTAGACATAACTCCAGGAACCGGGTTAATGAAGAGGAACCAGGGAAGTAAAGGAAAAGAAAGAATCTGAAAGAGAAGAACAATAGAAAACAGGTGTTAACAAGGGAAGTATGGACAATAATGGGGTTATTTCAAGGGGAGAGGGGAGGGAAGGTTATACAAGGAACCTAGGGGATAAAGGGAAAGAAGGAGCTCAAGAGAGGTGGGACCATAGGAGAAGGGTGGTATTAAGGGAGAAATGGAAAAAATAGGGGCACCCTTACCTTAAATGGGGAAACCATGGTGGAAGTGTTAGACAATGTGAGATAAACAATGCCTAGCTAGTTTTAGAAAACCAGAGTGAACCTTATTAGGCCAACAACATATTGACAAATTATACATACAACCAGATCAAAGAATGTAATATATGCCTAGGCAAGGTGTATCTGAGAGTGTTTGATCTTTGCCCAAGCTTTATCTACATGGCATATGGTAAATAAAAGTACCAGACTGGTGGAACTATCCTTCTTGGATATTTAACAGCTGTACTTTGAGGCCTATATTAATTTGGTCAGAGGGACATAAAGGACAGTTTTTGCTCCTTGCCCTCCTAGGTCGACTTAGTTCCAGGGGACTATGAGAATCTCTCAAAATGTCCTGTAACTGTGGTAAGTCACCTATCCTCTTGAGCCAGGAAGCTGTGGAGACCCCACCAGATGGACCTGAACCAGTGTCCAGTCTACAAAGAGGAGGAGGGTCAACACAGAGGAATCATTTCTTCCATGCTTCCAAGAGAAGTCAGCCATGGTCGAACAGGACCTTTGACTGAGCTTCACATAGATGGAACTAGTAAAAGAAAGGAGCCAAGGGCTCCTCGCAAGCTCATGTTACTCCTGAGGAACAGATCCTCAAATGACCTTAAGAGTAAAAACAAATTGTTTTATCTGGGCCAACTGTAGGGTCTTAAACACCCAAAAGGAAAGTATAACCAAAGATGAATGGGGCCAATATAATTTTTAAGAGTCCATATGTGTAGCTAAAGGCTACGTAACAAGAAACAATGCCAGACAGGTTATACCTTCCTTTGAGTTATTGGGCAAGGTGGTAACAAGTGACTCCAAGACAGTAACCCAGCACAGAACTGGGAAAATGAACAGCAGACCCCAATCGTATCCAAAGGAATTTTGACAACTGATTGCTGCTAGATGAGGAACAGCTGATCTTCCTAAAACCAGGACCTCTAGATTGGTTGACTTGATTCAGTAGGCGATCAAGCACTGGAGAATGGCTGGGGGTGTCGACAACACAGAGGACAGTAACAGGGATGACAGAGTATATGGGTTCTAATATGTGGGAGGGGGGAGGCTATGGGAGGGGGTATATAGATGAATAAGATTGTGTGGTATGTTCTGTATGATATACACACAAAAAAAATCAGTAAGTTTTTTTTTTTTTTAAAGAGACATATTTGAGGAAGAAGCATTAAAGTTTACTTCATGTTAAATAGTAGAGGTGATAAACATTACCATTGAAATCTACCTGATGACTTTATATCCATACTCAGGCACTAAGGACCTGAGTGTAAACAACTGTGACTAGTAACGACAATAACCCAGCATAAAACTGGGAAAAGGAACAGCAGACCCCAATCTTGTCTAAAGGAATATTGACAACTGATTGCTGCTAGATGACGAATAGCTGATCTTCCTAAAACAAGGAACTCTAGATAGGCTGACTAGATTTAGGGGACGGACAAGCACTGGAGAATGGCTGGGGGTGTTGACCACACAGAGGACAGTAACAGGGATATGTGATCTAGTATGTGGGAGGGAGGAGGCTATGGAAGGGTGCCATTTGGGAAGTGGGTATATAGATGATTAAGATTATGTGGAAGATTCTGTACGATACACAGAAAAATCAACAAATTAAAAAGAGACTTATATTTGAGGAGGGAGCATAAAAATTTACTTCATGTTAATTAGTAGAGGTGAAAAACATTACCATTGAAATCTACCTGATGACTTTATATCCATGCTCAGATGCCAAGGCGCTCAGAAAGTAACCGTCCGTGACTAGTAATAATCAGATATATAGAGATTAGAAATGCATGTGCAAACATTTTAGTATTAATTGCATTAAAAATGAAATTTTCTGTATGAAATTGTGTATTTGAATAATGAAGTGGAGATATTTTTAAAGGTTAAAACCTCATTTAATTTTATGTCTTCTAGGGTATATACTGAGTACAATATTGTATAACTGTATTAATTCAACTGTAAACCTAAAAATTGACAGCCAATTTTGAAAGAGATGCATCTTAGCTGTGGAAATTATTATTGAATATGTCAATGCTGTTGTAATTAAATGCTTCTTCTAAGTATGTGGTTATTAAATAAATAATTACAAAAAAAAAGAAGTTCATAAAACTGCCACCTCATTGGAACATGGTGTTTGGGGAAACCTAAGTGTGTGTTTCCAGGCCATGGTCATTCATATTTGGCTCCAGAATGAACCATCTCTTTTATTCTGTTGCAGTGTGGGCTTGCCAGATTTCCAGTTGCTTCCTGCTTCCTGTACCTGCTTGAAGATGTGATTCCTTCACCTTTCTTTGCTGGTCATCTCTGACACTATGCCCCCAACCATTATGGTCTCTAATCTCTCTGGAATCATAAATCAAATAAACTGTTCCTTCAACCCCCCCCCCAAAATAAAACCACATATTCTAACCATCATTGCTGACTAGCTTAGTAATGGATCCTTCACTTATTTAAAGAAAGCTTAAATAAAACAACAGAGTTAGCATGTGTCTCCAGCGTCAAAGGACGCAGAGCACAGCTGAGCACCCTGTAGTAGTCTTTTTCTAACTGGGAAAAAGGGAAGTTTCTGTGGTGACATTTTCAGTTTCCCATTCCTCCTTCTTTCCTTGATAATGCCCAGTGTACATCAAACTCTCTATGATTATATATAAACTATTAGATTCTGCAAGTCACTCTTCACCATGACTATGCTGCTTTTCTCCTGAATAATGAGAAAGATGAGCTGAATTGTTTTCCATCACAGTCAAGCTTCCTGTCTACACTCGTGGGGGTTAACTAATCCTTTCTAAGGAGGACAACTCTTCCTAAGAAATCTTCTAGAGTCCGTGTATTTACAAATCGACATCTCTTAATTTTTGGTACGTCATTGAGTTTTGGTTTTGTCTTCCCCCAAGCCCAGCTGAGGGTCCTGAGGTGTTTGCTGGGGTAGAAGTTGGGACTTCTGATTATTAAAAAACAAAACAACAACAACAACAAAACCACCACCACAACCACCGCCACCAGACCAATCAGTAAGAAATTCTGAGTTAAGCAGCTTTTGTCAGAAGCTTTCATGTGCTAATATGTTACATGCGTTATGTGTGTCGGGGGGGGTGGTCAGGGTCTTCTCACAAGTCTCAGTTCCAATGCACCGATTCCAGTACAGCCTTGCTGGCTGAGCAGGCCCTGGGCAGGGCTCCTGACAATTCCACCTGCAGGTTCAGGTTCTAACTCCACTCTGCTCCATCTAAAAGGTCATGAAGAACTTTGCATTCCATGTCACTGTGTAGTTGTCATTCCACATTGCTTATAAGCATAATTTCATTATCAAAGTAAAATGAGAAAAAGTGTTTTTGCAATGAGATACATTTTATTTTAATTTCACCATTTATATACAGACACAAGTTAATAAAACACATCACAAAACTGTAAAACTTTATAGTTACTATTTATAGGTGCATAGTTTCATGCTCACATAGATTAAATATTATATATTAACAAGTTTCACAATACATTATTATTCTTAGACAGAAAGAATCATTAAAGACACCTGAAAGTCTTATAAGACAGCAAACCACAACTTCTCAACAACAGCAACAAAAAAATAGTGAATATTTAGAAATAAGTGGTAGTCACTTAGGTGTTTGTATTTATTTTAACATTTTAGGTTTGAAGCCACAATATCCACAGCACAGGAGGACCCTGCTACCACAAATTCACTTCAGTGAGCGGGAAGCACCGGAACACAGAGGGGCAGGTATAGAACTCAGTCGCTGCTGATGGAAGACTTCGAAATACACTGTATGAGAAAATGTCATGACCGGGCATATTGGAACTGAGCACTTGAACGTGATGGAACATCAGCCGGCGGATCTCAGGACACCAGGAAGAAAGACATTTTTAGGCTTCAGGCTCATAGTCTTGGTAGCCTTCCTAGCATCAGAAAAATAAAACAGGCAGCATGCCATGTCAGAGGACAGTCATCAAGCATCTAGACATGAGAGAGGCCTGGCTCGCCATTCTGATAAATTGTTACTCAAAATAGTTTTCAGAACTTCTCTGTTGCATACACACACACATCTCATTTTTATTAGTTTTGCCTTATTTGTCACCTATAAATTATGAGAGTTGTCAGAATTAGCTTATTCGGGCCTAATTCCAGATGTGCCATTTGAGAGTTATGTGACCTAGTCCTATAGAAGAAATTAGCTGGTGTCTCTGACTCTGTTTTCTGAATTATAAAAAGGAGAGCTAAGTCAGGTGGCATGAAGCATCTTCCAGAGCTAAGATACTTTAGTTCTTGGAGATTACAACATTTAAAGACAAGATATACTTTCTTTCTTTTCTCTCACCTGACTGCAAACTTCCTCTTCATGTAAGGCTTCAAGTGGTTACTTTTACTCAAGCCTAAAGCCCAAACCTCCCAGATAAAGTTAGGGTACCATTCACAGTAGAAATAATAAACTTAAATGGCAAGATTCTGTTAGTGTGCTAAGATTTGTCTGTGACCCTAACAGTGTCTTTGAAGTTGTTCTGTTTTCTAAGCTTGCTTCATAACTGCACACTTTTCCTCAGACACCTCCACGTGCTTTTGCTTCTAACAGACCCCTGTGCTAGGAAGTTCTCTCCTTTTGACCTACTGTTATCTCCCACCCTCTCCCATCAAGGTCGGCATCACTTCTTCAATAAAACCACCTGATAGAACTGCCCAGATCCTCCCATTGTGGAAATCTGACCGTGACAGATTTTTGGTGTTACCTGTTAAGATCCAGTTTAAACTCCTAAACTGCATTTCGAGTTTTATATGATAAGTGTTTACCTCCGGGGGCATTTCGTAAGCCTCACTGTCAGGATCCACAGGCATGTCTCCCAGAACTCCTTCTTGTGGGGACCCTTCTTCACCCTAATGTTTAAAGGGGAAGTACAAAGAGTATGATGAGGCGTCATTTTTCACTTTTGACACATACTTTGAAAAAAACTTACATATGATGCATTTAAGGGATGTTGCTAGGAGTGTTGTCAAAAGAGTACTCCTTAATATTACTGCTGGGATTCTAATCATAACCATACGTTTGGAACAATACTGAGCCAATGTGAGTTAACGACTGGGTAAGTCTACAAAGTTTTTGGCCATGTAACTCACTATCCAGAAAATTGACAAAGCTATAGTCCCCAAATCCTTTTCACAAGATAAATGCGGTAGTAAAGCAATTACCAAATGGATAATGACGAGTCAAACAATGGTTATTTACTCAAAAATTATTATGAAGACATGAGAATTATGGAAAAATGAGAACTTATTTATGGTGTAACTTTTAGCAGGACATCATAAGTATTGTGGAGAAAGTGTGTAGAATTCCAATGCCAAAGTAAAAAGATGAGAAGAAAATATGACAAATATTAGCAATTGGACAGTAATACATGTTATTTTTATTTTTTCCTAAATTTTAACTCATGTAATAACTCCTAAAATAAAGCACCTGTGTTTTATAATTCATTTTTAAATGCTGACAAAGAAATGAATTTTCTTCTGGAACTTGAAAGCTAGATTGTATACACTTGAAGTAAAATAATAAAAATCCATGATCAAATCAGTTTTTCAGGTTATCTTTCCACAGAAGCAGATGCCCTAACTCCAGCCCGACATGGGCATGGCTTATTTGTATTCTTTCTCAAAAGCCTTTTGTTCCCTTGCACTTGCGCCAGCAAAACAATTATTACAAGATGGAATTCAGTGAAAATTCAAAGAGCAGAGATGAAAGATATGTCTAAATGAACTCAGCTGAAGAGATCAAAGGGTGCACGGCTTATGTGAACAATATGCCTGATGTCTGTGATAGCTCTCTCCGCTTTTATAACAGGCATGATAGGCAGGCACGTAGAGGGAGGGAAGACATTACGACGGATAGTGAGGTAAGGTCAACTCTGAAGACCATGCTTTTGGCAGCTGGGCAGAAAAGCTTGTGGATCATCCCATCCCGACTTTTTGGACAATTCTAATACCCTTTTCACTCACCCAGAAAGTCCAAGTTGTTTACTAATTCACTAAAATCAGACCATCACAAACCACTTCAAAGAGTAAGATATTTTCACAGCACTTTAAATTGTGGTATAGAAACTCAAGTTTTTGTTGAGTATTTATTAGGCACTAGGACTCTGTCACAGGACTCAAATTCAAATTCTAGCTCCTTTCGAAAGCAATCTTTTGTGACACTGGACACATTTCCTATGGTGCGCCTTAACAAGAATTAGCTTTAGTTATAATATGGAGCAGTGAGATCTTTTAAACAAATAACATCATTCAGTCCTTGCATGATAGTTAAACAACTCTTAGAGATAGTCAAACATAAGGAAGATATGGTAAATCTCCTATTCTGTGCATTTTCTAACATAATCTATGACATTTATGCTATAAACTAGGCCGGCAACATGGTGGGCCTGGTCAGTGGGCTGTTGACTCTCACAAAGGAACTGCTCCTGCACAACTAAAATCGTTGAGTATCACTGGATGTGGGTGTACCTGTGTCCTTAGGGGTGACTGTGTGTACTGTTCAAAGTCCAGTCAGGACATTAAATGCTGCTTGTGAATTCTTTGGTTGGATTAGTGTTATACTGAGATAAACTGAAATCCATCTTTGTTAATTTTAGATATTATGTCACTCCAGTTGAAAGTAAACAGTGATATCTTTTTTTTTAAGTATGTGTATTTCTGAGTACAAATTTCCCTAAGCCTCTTTAAAGTGAATGCTAAAGTTCAAGCAAAGATAAAACAAAATGCACTAAGTATAGGGCATAAAAACTGTACTCTCATGGATTGCATTTAGGTAGCACTGTGTTTTATAAATTCATGAGGTATTATATTAATATATATATAAACTATAAGAATGAAGATACACATATAACATAAGAAAAAAGGAAACATAAACCAAGAACAAGCACTCAAACAGGATTCGAAATACCCAGGCCTCAAGAACATACCTGGAGCTTCATAAACCTGACTCACTCAGGCATTAAATATGGTCACCCTTTGTACTTATGAGGGCTGTTGCAAGCACTCACCTTGTATACTGAAATCTGTGGATGTTCAATCAAGGCTTTTATATAAAATGGGGTGGTATTTGAATATAATCCACATGCATCTTCAAAATCCACATACATCCTCATGTATAACTTAAACCATCTCTAGACTACTTACACAATAGAAGATAAAGAAAGATGCATTTCCCCCAAATATTTTCCACCCAAAGTTGGTTGAATCCATGAATGCTGAACACACAGATATTGAGGCTGATTGTATCTGATGTTTTCACAAGTCTGGCTACTGGATTTCTTAGTGTTCTATTTCTGGAGAATGAAATTGAATGCATTATCTGTGTAGATATACACAGACATTTTTATTAACCAACTATTGTTAATGTTTGTGAAGGTCTTAAGTTGCTATGTTACATACACAAAGTAAAAGTTGGTCATAGAAAGGCTATGACAACAGTTCTTCATGGGGAAGAACTTTAAAAAGCTTAGTAATTTTCCTAGACACTCTGGCTGAGATGACTTCATGCTCTCTTAATCACTGTCTCGAGCTTCTTCCCAGAGTTTTGGTATTTCAGACGGTTTTGTTTTTATTTTTTAAAGGCAGGGTCTTGTTCTATGACCCAAGCTGGGCTGGAAATTAGAATCCTGCCCCAGCTTCCTGGGCTGGGATTCCTAGCAAGCACCACCATGCTTGGTTTCAAATGATTTACTGAACTGAATTATCTATAAATTTCAGTAATGGAAAGGCTGTATTTTCTACCATGTCCTCGATTTTGCCTATTCCTTTATAAACCAGTTAAGAGCCTAGTGACCAGTTTAGGAAACTATTTGACCACCATCAATGAAGAAATAATCATAAACTTGTATCCAGAAGTTTATCTGTAACCATGTTCCAAGGGGTCACAAGAAACA